CCCTCATTGGTACACAATCCCCCCCTGCACCTCCCCAAACCCCACCCCCTAGCCCCAAATATAATCCACTCTACAACCCTCATTGCAGGAGCGTCTACCTAGCCCCCTCCCTCAGGGCTGTTAATAGGTTCAACCTGCCGACCTTGTGGTTAGCAGCTCAGCACTTAACCCATCACGAGGGCTCCTACCATTTATCACTCTTTCATCCTGTTCTTTCTCACTGCTTCATGAAGCCACTTCATGACGACAGCCATTTTTAAGAGCTGAAAAAACTCATTTTTGAATTGCATAAAATTCAGCACAGCACATCTTTCCAAATCATTTCAGGCAGCAAAGAGTGTGCAGGCCTGGGGACACGGTACGGGGGAAGGCTAAGATTGCATTTCTCCAAGTTTCCACCAAATACAAACAAGGGAGCCTAATTATTCACATTTTAAATGATGAAAAATCGCTCAACATTGCCCTCTTAAAATGACACTGGCCACAATGTATTATTCTCTCCACTGAATAAGGCAAACAAAACTAATCAGGAAGGCATGCACTTGAAAACTGCTCAGAAGGACATTCATTTAATCTGGCCATTCATTCTGTTTCAGTGAGAGCCGGTAGCAAACGCGAAGTCTGCTCTGTGCACAGGAAATGCAATCAAGAGCTGAATAAGACGCCTTCGTGAGATGAACCTAAGAGAGGCAGCTAGCTTGCCGAGTGGAGTTGCACATCTTTCATGTTAAAATTAGAACATATAGAAATCATCTTAGCAAATGTTAACTTCCTATCTTTTTCCACCAGAAAAGGATATTTATAGCACATCTACACGCAGCACAAGGCAGCCAGCTCCCTGCAGCCTCAGGCCTTCTGCAGGGCAGCAGCAAACCAAAGGCAAAATGGCAAAAGCAGTTATTCACTGCCACTCTGCACTACTCAGAGGCATGTTACCCTAGTCGTGGCCTCGGTAGGAAACTGGAGCCAACCACACACTATATCCACAGGCGCTCAACCGAGTTCACCGCAGCGACTGCCGCTGCTGGGTGCCACTGTCTATGGATTCCAACTCCTACTTTAGTGGTACAGGAGAAATGCCGTACAGGACTTTCTTGACTGTAATCTTCATGGAAGCAGACTGCCAAATCCTTCAAAGTGCTAATCTTTCCATTAGATACCAACACTTAACTGTGGAGCCACCAGAGCTCCCTGGGGCTGCTGCTTCAACAAAGCAGTTCTCTACTATCAACATTTACAGAAATCAGGCGGTAACAGACTGCCAAGCCAACCCAGCCAGGGTGTCCACAAAAGAATACCATCACCCACTTGGTTTGCATTACACAGAGCGGTGTATAGCCATGAAGAAAAAAAAATACATCTAATATGTTCTCTTATTTATAAAATAATAAAATAATGGTTCTTTATAAAAAGGAAACCAAGAAGCTTGTGATTTCGGCAGATTCTTTGAAACAGAACCTGATTTTCTTTTTGGCCAGTTCTTATCTGAATTCATTAAAGAGCCATAGTGGCACAGTGGGGAAGCACTCAGCTGCCGTCTGAGAAGTCCAAAGTTAAAGCCCACCAACTATATAGGAGGAAGATGTGGTAGTCTGCTCCTGTAAGGATTTCAAAGAAAAATAACACAAAAAACCAAACAATCTGGTCTAGTAGTCAGTAGATTCTTCACAGGACATAACAGAGGTGCCCACAGAGTTTTCTGGGCTGTCAAGCTTTTCCAAAAACTGTTCGATTCTCCTCCTGCAGAGCAGCTGATGGGGTTCAAACCAGTGCCCTTCATTCTGCAGCCGCTGCTTTAACCGCTGTGTCACCAGAGCGCCCCTCTGTACAGATCATGGTCATTGTGTACCTTCGCGTCAGAAGCGACTCACAGTACAGCTCTGGGAATCCCATGGAGCACTTCTGTCCTATCCCACAGGACTGCAGTGTGCTCAACTCAACTCAGCAGCATTGGTCTTCTGTTTAATTAATCCACCACATTTAGCTCAAGAAAAGCTGCATTAGTGAGATAAGAATCACTACACTGCACAACTTGTAATAAGAACTTGACTTTGGGTAATAAAACATCATGCCATTTCCACAGAAGGGAAAAAAATGTCCAAGCAGGAATCTTGAGAGTTGCTGATGAGGGATAGATAGGATTTCGGTAACACCGGCTGGACCTCTGAGGTTCTGTGTGCATGCCCAGAACCAACATGCTTACCTCCTTAGTTAAACGTCTACTTCCAGGGAGGGCCCCGTTCGTGTGGCTGGCTGGGCACTGACTGTGAAGGAATCAGCGCCTGTCTCGCCAGGCACCAGGCCGCCCTCGCTGCTCTGTGGAGGGCACATGAACCAGCAAGGCCAAGCAGAGGACTTCCTGGAGACTGCAGCTCAAGCCTTCCCAAGGGGTGGTCAAGCTCTGACTAATAACGAAAAGGCCACTGCCCACTAATGGCCCCAGCAGCATACAGGAAGCCATCTATGGAACCATCCAACACATAAACTGAGATGAAGGGAGAGGGAGAGCGAGAGGGAAAGATGGACACTTCGGAACACTGGACGAGGAACTGGACTGAAAAGGCCATGCTATGCCCTTGTTGAAGTTGGTAGTTGCATGGTGACTCTTAGCGGCCTCATGCTTTACACAAGCACCATAGCCAGTCCTGGGTCAGCTTCACATCTGAGTTCATTGGTGTGGCTAATAAGTCAAAGCATCTCAATGCATGAAGCCTCCGCTCTCTACATCCTCTCCAGTGATGCGGGTTTTCCATTGTCCTGACAATAGGATGTTGGTCTGATTTTTATGAAGAGAGAACATATTTCATTTCCTAAATTCTCTGTAATAACAACTCATGATATTGGCCAGAGACTGTATTGAACCTAAATAATAAAAGAGCAGAAAGCCTGATTCCTTCAAGAATGTAAGACAGACACTAATAACACAGTGTATCAGTGGGAGAAAGAACCAAGTTTTGTCCTTAGTTTCTGGTTTCAAAAATAGTCAGAGCAATCAATGTGCTTTTGTTTTATAAACACCCAGGCACTGGTTAAGTACATGCAAATCAACTGGGAGCATCCTAGGTCTTGGAAAGGGATGGGTCATGACTGTGCCCTCCACCCTCTGAGGTCTGACATATGCCACATGTGCTGTGGGGTATGAAGGGAGCTCCAGGGTCTGCTCAGCCATGGTGCCACCGAGCAGGAAGTGGAGCAGAAGCTCGGCTACCTAAGTAAACCCACGGGGCCTTAAAGGTGCTCGCAGACTCGCAGAGGGCAGGCCCCCTTCCTGAGTCCCACACCTATGATGCCAAGTAGAGGAAGTGTGGAGGAGTTCTCTGTCTCCACTGGGTCAGCTTCTACAAGTCAGGAGGGGACAAGCATGTTGCATGACTGTCCCCTTCCAGTCACATATCTATGGCACAAAACGGTACAGGTAGTTTTCTAGCTCACACCAGGAAGCTCTGAGCCAAAGGGGACTGCTGGCCTGCTGTCTGCTTCTTTTTGTAAGTAATGGCCTAGGGATAAGAAGCTGCGTCGCAATCCATAAGGCAAGCAGTTCAAATGTACTATCTGCTCCAAAGGAGAAGGATGGCAATCCCTCCCCATGTTAGTTTCTGCCTCTGAAAAGCCCCTGGAGAGTCAGCTGTGAGTCATTTCTGGTTCAGTGGTACACAACAACATGTGATCAGGCTCTGAGTCGAAGGACATTAATATTCACAGAGGAATCTCCAGTGGTGATGTACCTCTGTTCCTACTGCCCTCCTGTTAGGCCAGAAGTGGGAAACCATCTGAGTACCTCACAGTCCCGGCACAGAGCCTCACAGGACTATGCATTCACCAGGAACTCTTGGAAGGGAAACAACTGAGGAAATGAAAAAGAGTACTTGATATTTACAAGCTGAATCTTCAAGATTGTGGATAGATGCATTCATCATTCTGCATTATAAATCAAAGACGGATATATTCTAAATCACCACCCCAGGGGTGATCCTCAATCTGTCTCATCTCTATTTTCCCAACACATCCGATGCCCTCAAATTCTCAGCCCCCACCACGAAACTTATCCTAATCCTTTCCTTGGAACATAATATTCTTAGTGCCCCCTTTACTTCAGGCTCTGCCCAGTGAAAGACAATTTGCATGTCATCTTGCAAAAGATACAAAAACATCTTCTCACTCATCAAAGACCTGATAAAAAACACAATTCTAGTAAAAACCTGATTGATTATGCAAGAAAGTCAGAATTATCTCTGAAACTAAGTCCAAGAAAAGAAATGTCATTGAATAGGACTTTATCTCTAAGTTACAGGCCAAAGACAGTCGACATGTTCACAGACAAAACCCAGCAGCATGGTGGCAAAGACAGACAACTACTGCCCCTTTCTGAACTGTGAAAGATGACAATGTTGAGTTTATATGACACATGGCTAAAAAATGTACCTCACAACCAATCACAACTGCTAAATGTTAATTAAAGACTATTAACACACTATACACCACTAAGGGGAAAAAATGGTAAGAGAAGCAGAAGAAAAGGAAGGAGGGTAAATATACTTTGTAAACCTACCGGAAATCAATATCCAATAAAAGGCTTTTAATGTGAGACTTCGTGTCATCCGATGCTTTCAGTCTGATCAGCTCATGTAACCTAAAGAAATGAGTGGAAACAGATTCAGCAAGAAATTATAAATACCAGACAGTAAACAAAAATCATTCGTGATATCCTATATTTCTGATATTTCGGAGAACTGGCAGATTACCAAGGCTTCAATTTGGCAGGTATTTCTTAAAAGGTAGAGAACTCTGAAATTATAAACAACTTAAGGATAAAAATTGGAACATTAGCTCTTATTACATATGAGCCTCTACAGAGTGTTCTCATAAATGGGATGAGTTATAAGTTCCCTAAGTAGACAGGCCATGTCTTACCTCTGTGCATTCTTAAAACATGCCATCTTCTTGCAAATACTAAATAACTATAATATTTTCTTAATATTTACATAGTGGGTGATGATGGAGGACTGAACAAGATCACATCACATACCTTGGAGTTCCAACACACAGCACTCTTCTGAATCCAAGGGTAGAAAGTAGGTCCATCAGGAACTGACAGGTCCTATCAGCAAACAAATACTGGGCATTTGTCTTCTTGTTTTGCAGTGGGCACAGGAGTTGACTGGGCCTTTTTAACTGGGCGACAGAGACATCACCCATGACCTGATGCTCACGATGCTCCCACCAGTCATCTGGTAACAGCAACTGCTGGCATCTTTGACAAAACTTCCTCTCAGACAAGGGCAACTCAAGAAACTTCAAGTACCTTCAAGACATAGGAAAACACAAGGTAATACATTCCAGGTTTGCTGTTTGAAAGACAAGGCAACTTTGCTATTTTTAGTATTCTGAGAGCACTCTTCTTTCCTAAAAAGTATTGCATAAAAAAAAAGCAAAGGTAAGAGAAATCCATAGCATACTGGCTGGAATTTATGCTTGCCTGCTTACCTACAAAGTGCGAAAGGATCAGCAATTTCTTAAGAATAGAGATGCTCCAATTTAGTCCTGAATGAAGATCAATACCCATTTAAGATGTGAATATAACATATTTCTCAAACAACTTAGTACTGGTGACTGCTATCATATTTAAATGTATTGACAAATCCATGTATTCTACCTCTGACATGTTAAACAGTCTGGCTCAGGATGACAGTCATCTTAAAATGAGAAACTAAAATCATTCTTCAAACTCTTATGGCACACTTAACGAGAAAAATTACCTCCTAAAAGAAAAGATGTCCCTACAAAGCTGCTCTATTGTTGGCAGTGCTGGTGAGGCCAGCTATCAAAAGCTCATCCTAAAACAGACAATATCCAAAGTCTTAAAAAGACCACGTTGAATATCTCTTTCAAAGCACTCTTATATTTTATTTCAAAGGCACCATTTGTACTAAAGATGGTTGAATAGAGAATTTCCACAATTAATGTGTTTTAGAAACAACTGTTTTCATAATAGACTTTGAAAAAACAGAGGCTATGAAATCAGAGTAAGAAAATATGAGGAAAATGAGTATTGACGTCTATGGAGGCTAAGAAGTCTCTAAATGCAAACAAGTCAATAAGTACACTAAAGAATTCCCCTCCCTCCTTTTCAGTAATTCATTTAATTCTGGTGAAAATACAACAAAGCTCTTGTCTCTCGACTGACACTTGTTCCAGTCTTTGCACTGTGTCAACATCCTCCTTATTTCTAATTCTTTAAATGCCCACCCTGCAACCTTCTGATCGATGCTCTAACATGGCTGTTGACTCTTTGGTCCTAAACAGATAATTTTTATTTTTAATGAAATACTCGGGGTAGTAATTTTCAATCTAAGCCAAAGGAGGTGAGGTAAGTACCATGAGAGGTCTGAAGGGCAACTCAAGGCAATGACTCCTGACTCTTCCAGTCTCACTAGGTAAGTTCTCATCCTTCAAGAATCTGAAGCTCTGTTTTCCTTTTCCTCTCTTTCTTTTTTTAAAAAAAATCCAGACTCATCAGTTGTATTCTTAATGAGAACATTCAATAATGAAGGTCAGGCACCTAGTTTTGATTTCAAAACCCATGGAGATAATTAGGCTTAAGAGGGCCTTCTATGATTTTTTTTTTTTCGTTTTCTTCTTTCTTTTTATATTCCAGACAAATAAAGACCACTGTATGCATCTTAGATAGCAGCCTGCAACATTCTTATCATGAAGAGAACGGTATTTGTACTTCCTCCAAAACAGGTTTGTTTCTTCTTTTGGCAATCCATGGTACAGTCAAAATTCTCTGGCACTGATTCTTCTTCTATCTTCTTTATTCACTGTCCAACTTTCAGACACATAAGTAACAGAAAAGAGCCTGGCTTGATTAAAGCACACCTTAGTTTTTAAACTAAGAACCTTGCTCTTGAGCATGTTAAGGGGTACTTGACAGCAGTTTCCCCAGGTACTCTTCACCATGCTAGGAGGTAGAATACAAAACAGCATGCCCTCATAAATAACACACACAAAAGGGATATGGTGATCCTATCAGTAAGGAGTCCTGCTGCCAATTCAAAGGTAGAGGGTTTGAAACCACCAGGTGCTCCTCAGGAGAAAGATGGGTAATATTCTCTCATGAGGTTTACAACCTCTGAAAACCTGCTGGACGGGCATGGTTGCTGGAGGGTTGATCTGGTTCCATCTTGATGGCAATGATTTGAAACCTTCTGGCATGGTATGACCATGCACACACCATGCATGACTTGTGACATTTACAGAAGGACATTTCAGCTTCAAGCATTCTCATTCAATAGTTTAAGAAGGTTACTTTTTTATCTTAGTAAAAATTTACAAATACATTGAATTTTCTTTCCATCTTCCATAGACCTTGTTTTGTAATATTAAAAATTCATAAATATAATTATCTAATCACTTTTTTGCTTTTTCCTTTATCCAACTTAGCTACTTATTAATTTTCGCTCCCTTTTCTCTTTTCATACCTGAAAACCCTCCAACATTGATCTTATCTGTGTGTAAATTTTTCCTGTGTGTGTGTGTGTATATATATATATATATGTGTGTATATATATATATATATGTGTGTGTGTATATATATATATACATACACACACATGTATATATATGATCTTATATTCTAATTGTTGTTTTGACTGACTTAACATCAGTCAGCATAATATTTTTTCTCAACTCTTTTATGCTGTGCAGTATTTCACAAAGTCTTGATTAATTTTTAGTGGTGTGTAATAGTCCACTGGAAGTAGGAGTGGCGTCCACTTCCTAAACAACATGCCTCTGGAAACTATGAACTTTGAGAAACAACAATAGTTATAGAAAGGCTTCAGATCTTTTGTTCATAGGGTCGTGCTCGACTAGACAGTAATCAACAATAGTCCACTAGGAATGACAGGAGAATTGATTCGTTTGAGCTGTGTTGCTAGAGAAAAGTACTGAATATAACATAACTGCTAAGAGAACAAACAGGTTCATTATGGAGAAGGTAAAAACAGGCTGATCCTTGGAGGCAAGGACTCTGAAGCTTCGTCTGACATACTTTGGACATGTTGAAGGAGGGACCAGTCCTTGGAGAGGACTTGGGGAGGGTGGAGGGACAGCGCAAGAGTGGAAGCCCCTCGATAAATAGATTGATTCAGTGACTGGAACAATGGGGTAGGCATGTCAGAGGACAGGTTGGCTCAGCATAGAGCAGGGTTCAGAGCTGTTGTACAAAGGGTTGCTCTGAGTCCCAAGCAACTAGACTGCAGGTAACAACAAAACAACAGTCCACTGTATGAATGTACCACAGTTTCATTTAAAAATGTTACTCTGGATCATATTTGAATCATAAAGATTCAAATGGTCAAGAAGTCATGGCTAGAGTTTGAAATCCCCAGGAATCAGAAAAGAAACAACTAAAGTAACTGAAGTGCTTGGCGCAGTTCAGGGCTGAGTCTGAGGGCAGTGGAGCTCCTTGGAGTGATCAGGCAGATGTGGTGGAATGCAGGCTGATCTCGAGCCAAGGGCTGCCCCTGCACAGGACCCAGCCTGAATGTGCACCGATCTCAAGCACTGAGGGCTGCCCCTGCACAGGACCCAGCCTCAATGTGGGCCGATCTCAAGAGCTGAGGACTGCCCCTGCACAGGACCCAGACTGAATGCGGGCCGATCTCAAGCACCGAGGGCTGCCCCTGCACAGGACCCAGTCTGATCTGGGGCTAATCTGGAGAGGCGAGGGCTGTGCCCTGCTCAGCACGCCGCCTAAATCTGTGCTGATCTGGAGCTAAGGGCTGTGCCTTGCACACAACCAGATTCCATAGAGGAGGTGGGCATGCACCACTCCAGACCCACAGGGCTTCCAGGTGGCCATTCACTCCTGCTCTTTCTGAGCTAGAGACAAGCCACCCCTCTGTTATCATGATTTTCCCGTCCCCTCTGTGGTGTTTGTGCAGGTGGGAGACTGAAAGAGCTGGTCAGCTGACAGGAGGCATAACGACCTCCCCCTTCAAGTGTCCTCTCTGGCCCAGGGTGTGCAGATTAATAAAACTCTTGGGTTGTGGTTGGTCACCTGAGTGTCATTTCAAGAGGGGAAACTGGTGTGAACAGCAAGGACTTCTGCCAGGAAAGGGGCTGCTTTATAAACGTGAAAGGAGGCTGGAGAGGGTCACAGGGAGACAAACCTCAGTGTTAACAGGCACTAAGACAAAGAATAAACATCAAATCCACTGAATGGGGCGGGGGGGGGGGGGAATCCCAATGAAGTCAACAACATGCAAATGTTGATAGAATAGCACCACAGAGCTCCCGCGGCTGAGTGGTAAGGAATTGTGCTGTCAGTTTAGAGGCACACAGTTCTAATCCACCAGCTGCTCCATGGGAGAAGGCTGGGCAGTCCCCTCCGGTGTGATTAACTGCCTCTGTAAACCTGCTACAGGGTCAGCTATGGATGGATCCAGTTCCAACTCAACGACACATAACAACGATCTAGCACCGTTACGAAACGAACAGGCAGGGAGGCGCTGGTCTGTACGCAAAAACATACGACTATAAACGTCTTGCACAAAATTTGTGTGAATCATCTACCTTACCCCTAGAGAACACGGCTCTAAACCCCCAAACCGGGAGAAGTGATTCCATAAGATAACTGGTCATGTTTTATCAGTGCCCGCACCTGAACCCACTCCTTCATTTTTCTGGTCATTGTCTAAAATGTTCTTAGAGTTTAAGAAGAGGCATATACTGGTTTCATTTTAGACTGGTGGCTTAGTGGAGAGGAGTTGTGCTGCCAGCCCAGAGGCACTGGGTTCAAAGGCATCAGCTGCTTCACAGGAGAACGATGGGCAATTTTCTCTCCTGTGATTTAATGCCTCTGAAAACCCGCTGGAGGGCCAGCTATGAAATCGGTTCTGCCTCGATGGTACCTAACACAGCACTGAAAAACGGTAAACTTAACACATTACCAAAACAATTTCTTTTTTTTTAACCTAAGCAGTTTTCCTTTCCAAGCGCCTAAGGCAGCAACAAATACACTTTCTAAGTGACACAGTAAAAAATGAGCTTATCAGGTCAGTAATCTAAATGCTTCTCTTCATACAGTAACTGTTTATGCTGCATATCGTGACCAGAAAGAAGAGAGAGAGATTAGAAGAAATGGCTTGGTAGAATGTCACAAAGGAAAAAGGAACTTAAGGCAGGAAATGAAGAGCCAGGAACCAGCAGACACTCAGTGGGACCACATAGAATTTACCCCTGCCCTTCATAATGAAGTTTAAGTACTGAAGATGTCACACCCAGTCACCAGAGAGA